CAAGAATAAGTTTACATAATGTATATAAATATATCGAGGAGTTTGCTATTCCAAGATTTCCTAGCAAATCGTACAGGAATAATAGGAAGAACTTTCACTGAAAAATAGTATAGCCTATAGGCCTTTAAGAATAACGTATAGTATACATGTAGTTGTCTCATGTGTTGCGCTTTATAATAAACAGATTTGTTTGCATTCTCTGTTCTGATTTCTAGTGGTTTGAGCTAGCAGGTCATTCACTGACCATTAATAAAAGTCGTTTCACGAGATTGACCGCACGAGTGTGCCTCGGGAGGTCAGATCAAATGCCCATGCTGACGCAATGACTCAGTTTATCTCCAGAACAGGTACGCGTGCTCGCTCACCGGAATGGAAACACGGCGCGATACTGATTGCTGCGTACTGAGAGTGAAGTCAAACACTACAAAGTGAAGGGGTTCACGTATTAAGATCCACTCTTTCAGCCCAAGAAGGTTTTAATGAGTGCCATTGAATAAACCACTTCCTGTAGCTTTCAAGTGGGCAGTTTTAACTCCGTAAACGTTGGTGTCAGATTTGCATCAAGGTAATGGTTCTAATCGTAGGCACAAATTAGCCGATATTGAACGTCTAGTCGGTGGATCATTCAATGAATGGACGTGGTCGGAAGCTTGGGTAGTTGGTCATCTGAAAAGTTTATTTACATTCATGGAGGGAATTCGGCTCATTTGAAATTTGTTGGGGGTTTGAAAAACTTTGTTGGTGCAAAATGAAGTAATTTTATTTCAAAAAGTAAAAAAAGCGGTTACGCTTCACCATATGCAACTTTTCTCATATAGACCTGAAGTAACAGACTGGCCACGAAAAGCACCTGTCGATTTCCGTGGCGTTAACGCTATATTTATTATTTGCGTTTGAGATTGCCCCTAAGTTATATTTTCTGTGTCCATACATCCCGCAAAATTACGCAATTTCCAAATCCAGATCTTAAAAAATGATATGCACAGGAGGACAGGGTGGTCTTAACGTTACGGGAAACTAAATTATCTAATTTGGCATGGTATAAAACATTGCACCTTAGTGCAGTGAAGAGCCGACCAAAGGTTTGTGGGTACAGACAATATTATTGATTAATTTTTTTGGGGGGAGGGTGGGGGGTGGGGTGGAGGGAGGGAGTCGATTCGGCGGGATGTTCCGTATACACTGTAGGACACCTTTAATGGTACACGGTGAGTGATATTAAGGCTATGCAGGGCACAACTCCTGAAGGTATTATTAAACATCTTTTCTATTCTTGTATGAGATGATGCAGCCAAACAAAATCTGCAGATAAAGCCTGGAGTTGACTGTTTTGTTTACCTCCGGACGCAATGTGCCTCACACTGTTTTGGATATTAGTTTTCGCATTATCTCTGCGAAACTTTCATTAAATGGTTAGTACCGAATTTGCTACTGATATCGGCAATAGACTAAAATATCTTTTGTGCTAATAAGGAGACAGTAAACCCTATATTTGCAGCAGATTTTACTGTTAAAAAGAGTGCTATTTCAGGTAAATCCCACTGCGACAATCGCTTTCCGCCTTTTCTTTTGTCGTGAGACAGCGTAAGTCCACAACCACAACAAACACAATGATAAGGCAAATAACATTCCTGGGAGGGAAATTGCTTTTGTATTTGTTCTGTCTCTGATTTTTTCATTGATTACCTTGTGCGCATTTGAAGAATGGGGTTTTTGTACCATTTCTGCGTGCTTATTTAGCCCAATAGATGGCCTCAGAGTAGGGGCCTACGGAGGATCTTTTGCGACATTGGAAATTTTGGTTCCTTATCCTGTCGACTTTAGTAATAACACGATTTGTTCTAAAGGGTCTGTTTGTAAAGGATGACTTTAAGTTTACTTCGTTTTCTGCTTGTAAAAGATGAAAATTCAAACGGAAAACAACAACAGAAGAGCGTCACAGGCATCCAAAGCCAAGCAAGACACTTCACAGGCTCAGAATGTAAGTTAGAAAAAAAAACTAGTGCCTATCTCAAGTACAACAGACTGGTTTTACTTAAAAGAGGCGTGGGTGCGTTTTATATCAGCTAGCGTTTTATATCAAGTAGCTCGGGACAGTCGGTAATTTTGATCGTTTTCAATAGTTCACATGCGGAAAGTTTTGTGGTATTTTGAGATGAAAGACGCTGATGGAATCATTCCGTTGATAAATTACATCAAAATCGTCCGTCGTGTTGTATGACTTGCTCTGTATGCCGTTTGTTTTGCTTTAATGTATTAAATTTAGGGGGAATACTTTACTGATTATTAAAAAATCAAAAATAGATAAATAAATAAATAAATCAGACTTCTTCTTTATATTTGAATGACTGATTGCACTTGTTTTGTTTGTATTATTTAATGTCTAATTATATATAATTCACTATTTATTCATTGAAAATACTTTTCCATCATTTGATTATCTCTCACAATTATAGGCCTCCATGCATAATCTCATATTTTGATTTTTGTTGAAACGACATTTGATGTTAGAATCTTTGAAACGTAGCATATTTGAGATTTTTTATGCAAAGGATATGCGCTTTATATATCTTGAAACGTCTGTTACAGCAATAAAAAAGCAGTCAAATGGTATAAGATATGTTCAGCCTAGGGTTTAATCAGATTTGTTATTGTAGTTAAATACTGGAGCCTGAACTTCTCTTGTTCCATTTCTTTTAAAGTTTAGAAAGTACACCTTTTTTCTTGCCTTAAGTACAAACTTTCGTTGGCTCCTTTCATTTGGCGGAACATTTCCTGTTTTTGATAGAAATCATCACACGCCTGTTATTATTTAATGAAGTCGGTATTAATATTGATTTTCAAGCTTCTCATCTGAAAAGAAATATGTATACACTCCGTGCGACGCATTATTTTGTTTGACGTTCAGAAAAAGGCAGTGTTTGGATACGACTGAATGCATATTTTCACCCGTTTCCAGCATTTCAACTGTTATGTTCACGCTATTAACTTCACATAATGCAACATGGGGATTTGTACACTACCCGTCTTGGTCAAACTGAGATTAATGGAAGCCTCACTGATTCACAAGTACCTTCTAAGTTTATGGTATAATACATCACTTGAATATGGTTATTTATTATTTACTTAAGTTGAAAGTTTGTATGTGCTTTTATGTTACATTTTACTAAAGGTGCTCAAAAAGATTGTGACACGCCATTAGGCCACGCTGAAAGGCGAAGTTTTCCTCTGTTAAATTTGAAAGGGTGCAGCATAGGGCCATTTATTTTAAGTCCACTCTTTGTTGGCAAGTAGTCTAGCTTTTAGATATTCTTCAAATGAAAATTCAGTTGAAGAAAAGGCTTAATCAGTTGTGGAATGATGGTCAAGTAGAATCATTTATAACTTGCTCACACCGCGACTGCGTTCTTAAAATGCATAGTTCACCAGTGCAGTAAGAGGGGTTTTATCTGAAAATGCCCGCCACTGCATCAAGACAGGTTTCCACGGCAGAATCGGTGAGTTGATGGCTCTGGGGGTCTCGTGTTCTGCTACTCAGGTCACAGGGCGGACAGAACTCTTCACCTGCCCGTCACCTTGTTAGGGGGCAGGGCTGAAAATAGATCATTAACAATCTGAGATTAATGTTGCTAAGGGGCATGATATTCTAGAATTGGCATTTTGAGAGAAAGTAAATGTACTTAATATATCCTTAGGACTAGTAATGACAGTAAAATTGATTACTAGGGATGCATTGCAATATTAAGTAGAGTTCCTCATTGATTTGTGGCAGGAATGCTTACTTTAAGTTTGCCCACCAGGTGGTGCTGGGGTGCGTGTAGCTCATGGATTTCCATGAGCGGGTGGGAGCATGGATATGTATGGTCAGCGCTAAAGTAATGACGTGTATTAACTTTATTCACTTATGTGTTTCTCTGTTTAGTGCATGTACTTTACAAATAGGTTTCTTAGAAAATTGATTTTTAAATTGATTTGTAACTTAAATGTTACAAACATTTTAAAATCTGATTGGGATTTCCCCCATGGTTTTTGTCTTTTAGTGCTGCACCGATAATATGATTTCCGCCGGTGTAGTTAATAATTATAATTGTTTTGTGGAGAAAAAATATATTGAAATTTAAATGACTCATTATTATCTTTTCCGCAGGATATTTAAGCAACTACAAAATAATGAATAAATGATCTTGTGTTCAAATTGCAGTGATGAATTATGTCGAATCAGAGTGAAAAGTCTTTTTAAGTTTCCAAGTAGACCTTTTTGTCTTTCAATTTGTCTTTCTTTACCTATCCTCAAAGGATTTTCTTTCAAAGTAATTCGACAAACAGTGGGAAGTGAAACATTCATATATATTTCCCTATAATCATCCTAGAAAAAATAAGTGGAAAATAATCTCCTTTATGCCTGAGTTAAGTGTGTGTTTGTATTGATTTTTCTTTAATATTACACATAATCAAGGCCCACTGTGTACTAATAGTACACCAGCTGATTATACAATTGCCTGCGCCGTGTCCCAGAGGGCCAACGCTCCTGCTAATCTTAACAATTCTATCCGCCGGTACGGGGAGAAAACACGATTATTTAAACTTTTACAAAAAGTGCAACGTACAGTAATCCATCACCAATAGTTGCAAAGTGGGAAAACTTTGGTGGATTGGGCAGATAAAAGATGTTCTGATCAATTCGTTTACGTTCCCTGTGGAGGTTCATTTCATTTGTCATGACACTGGAGAAGTCAATTTCCTGCGGTGATAGCAAGTTAATCAGTCCCTGGAGCCCGCCAGAGCTGGAGAGGGACTGCTCTTCTTGAAAATAAAAAGTAAAAGAAGAAGTGCTCCAAGAAAAAAAGCCTGGATGGTACTGACCTTTAAAGAAGGTGACGGGAGCTCAACCTGATTAATTAAATTCTTTGAAAGAATATTTAGTCTTAAAGTGATTACAAGTTGGCATGGCAACATGACTGTATCTGCCTGTTGCTCTTACCTGGTTTCCCCAGCAGGTTCCCTTGGTAAAAATACCGTCTCCCTCAGCCAGCGGTGAGCAGCAGCACAGTTTACGGTTGGCTAAGTCTCTGGCAGCTGCCAACTTTCCTAGGAAACACATACAATAACAAACCAGGTAGATGTGCCGTAGCTCCATTGCTTGCTGGGCTAAGGGATCATTTCTTGGTATATTCAGACTGCTTTTTCAAGCACATGCGGGTAGATGGTGGCTATTTGAGGCTGGTAATTGTTGTCAGCGGTGAAATTGGATCTTTGACTAATATACTGCCTTGGCTTAGAACTGAGCTTGGGACCATTGTCTGTGCCATAATAAGTTGGATAACAAGGACATTCGGGAAGTGGTTTTGCAGGCTGCTACTACCCTAAGCTTCTTCAATGGTGCATCAGACACATGTAGAGCAGGAGCATTGGTTCATCAGTGGTAGACCAGCTAAACAAATATATCTACATTTATACTTGTGATTTATATTGAGTGTTTTAGGAATGCTGTTGGCCTTGAGAGTCTCAGTCTGCAAAGAACTTATCTATGGCTGGTATATTAACGGCAACTTGAGGATCATTGTCTGAGAAATTAATCGGAGTGTAATTGACTGGAGTTTGGTGAACTTGACAAGTTTTTGAAAAGCAATCTCTCATTAGGGTTATCTTTCATGCTCTGAGGGATATCTTTGTCAGATTTAACTAGCTGACCTATTGGAGACATGGTCAGTATATAAGAGACCTTTACAAGCAAATACATAGAGAGTAGCTGCCAATTTTCAGGTGTGAAGCACCAAAAGTCAACAAGCGGTTTTGTTTAACATTTTGAAATACCTGTGAACAATCTCACAATTACAAGACAGAGATGGCCGATGAAAACGAAAAGTCTGAAAAGTCTCAGCAAGGCAGTCAGAATGGCGATGGTGAAGTAAGTCAGATATTAATTCCATTATTTAATGGGTGATTACTGTATGTTTAAAATCTATCTTAAGTCAAACTAGCATGCAACATGGGAAGATTTATCAAACAATTAAACAGTTGTATTAGGTAATATAAGATAAATTTCCCATAGTGTGGGTAGTGTCACCTCAATCCCACGAGTGTTTTGTATTTGATAAATTAATTGCACATGATTGGCTCCAATTTAAAATTCCATTATGTATACAATACCATATATTACAGTGAAAACATGATTCCCTGACTTGGTTGCTACTTGAAGATTGTTTTATTTTATAAACATAGGTCTTCACTAGAAATTATGGGTGAACAAAGCATGATGAATATTGAATAGAAAATAGATTGACAGTTGTTAAATGTCACTATGACAAAGTACTTGTGTAAAGGTTAAATCTAGATGTTTTTCTGTGTGAATGATAGATTCTATTAGCATTTCACTTTTCTTATTCATTTAAAAACATAGGTAACTTAATTTTGCTGATATAATAAAGGTTATTACAATGAGAAGCATGCTATTTAGAATCTTGGTGGAAGAACCAAAAAAAAAAAAAAAAAAAAAAAAATTAAAGAAAAAGGAAGATGTTAATGTTCCTTGTCCCTGGTATCTCATTGCACACAAACATGGACAGTGAATCAAAAATAGCCCAGCACACAATAGCCTGGTTTTTAATTGCAGACAGAGATTAATGCCACTGAAAGAAGTTCTATTAATTAATAAGCATCTGGAAGTTCCTGTTTGCACGCCTGTTTACACTACCAGTTTTTTTTTTAGCAAGATGCGATGTTGAATAATGTGTATCTCCCTTAGCCCCCTGATGGCTTAAATATCAAACCCATAAGTATGCAGACACCCTGCTAGAATAAGGTAATATATATATATATATATATATATATATATATATATATATATATATATATATATAGATATATAAATCTCTGGCTAGAGGAAATATGATCAAACACTGTTCTGGAAGCTATTTTTGACTTTCTCCACTCTCTTGTAAATAATTTGATGTACATATGTGTGCTGCTTGGTTAGTTCTATTTTGGTGTACACATATGAGTATATTTATTCCTCAGGATGCTGTTGGAATGTTCCTGCAGTCATTTTTTTTATGTGGAGATTGAGGCAGAATTGCTACATGTAAATTACTTGAATTATTTCTAAATTCTACTTTTATAAAAAGTTTTTTTTCTTTTTCAATCCCTGACACAGTTTTTACAAATTTATCATTTTAAGAAATAAACACAATATGAAGAGATGTTTTTGTTTCAGAATGTGGTTCACAAAGGATTATATGTGTATTTGTATAATATTCCATGATTCATAATTTTTTGTAAGATGCTGGTTCACAACATATGTAAAGGACGCAAACATGGATTACTTTAATGACATAATTGCATGACAGACATAGCAAGTTACTGGTTGAACATTGATCATCATTGTTTCGTTAGAAAATAAAAGTGAAATTAATTGTATAATAATACCCATTTGCCTGATTTCAGTTTTTTGGGTTTAAAAATTTTCTGAATGGAATTTGAATTGTTATCAATCACAAAAAAAATGACTTAATTTGGATACATATAAAATTCACTCTCATGACTTTCAAAAACAGGTGGGATTTGACATTATATATTGAGTGACAAATGCATTGCAACTTGTACATAGTCATTTTCTGTGATGTCATATATAGATCATCTCAGTAATTCCAGGCACTTAACAATGGATGTTACTTAAAAATGTGTATAAAATAGGAGGGTGAGATTTCTCCAGATGCCAAGTTATAGATTGGGGCCCCTTACCATAACTGACTAGATGTCTGGCTTTCTGGCTTTGAAAATGAAGCAGTTTCAGTATGTACTTTGAGCTTTGGACATTGTAAGCAAAACATGAACATAATAAAAAGGTTGTGCACAGTTCACCAGTAACTGAATATTTTACAATGGTTGCATGTTAAAAGAAATTGCATTAATTATCCATGACCACCAGTTTGCCTTGATGATATGTATTTCAAAATAAAACGATCAGCCAATAGATGTCGTTATCATGATAGGCTGATTTCGCATGGCTTGGCCTACATTGCGGTCTTCATCAAAACAGAAGTGGTTGTCTGCCGTTGCCAAGGCAACCATAATTAATTTCCCTAGTGCTCTGACATTGCAATGTATCCAAGGCAGCCAGTTGAGTATGCACAGGCATTATTTTTGCATAAAGCTTTAATGAAAAATGTATACATTTCCTGTGTTACATCATTGTTAACGAAAAAAAAAAAGTAATAAATAAATGAACCTAAGAGTAAGGAGATGGAAATCAAGGCAAAATGTTGAGTTTGTGTTGCATTGAGATATGATTGGAAGCTCAGAGAATGACATTTAAGCTGTAGTCATATTGATTCATACAAACCCTCTGTGGTTTTTAATGCCAGGCAGCAGGTGCTTTGATTCCACACCTGCACCCCACCTCCACAGCACCCCTCCCATGGCAATCCTGCAGTTAAAATGGGGGTGAACAGGATGTCAGAGGGGGGTTGCCATTAAAAGGTTAATTTCCTAGAGTTCAAAGTAAAGTGGTTTTCCATAAGAGATAATGTAGATGTGGCATCATATTCCCCTTATTCCTCATAATTGCAACATGTATGCAGAAGTTCACATAATATTGATCTATAATTTTACGGACAAAACTTTTGCAAATGGGATTTCATTTAAGGCACTTTGGTTTCCAGGAGTTTTCAGTCCCATTGCTGTACTATATCCACTCAAAGATGCATTAAGGCTGCAGCCATAATTATGTTAACGGAGGCTTCTTCATTACGCAAATGCTGCGCTTCAATCCCTGCTCCCTAGATCAAAAGCCACTGTGTTTATAGGTACTTTAATATGGGCTTGAGCACCATCAAAACAGAAATTTTGGTTACATCAGATTTCAAAGGCAAACGTCTGGGTCGGGTTTGAGAATAGGGTTGATTTGAGGGGTATAATCACCATATGGTATAATTCTATTCCACCGTTGATCAGATTTGTGTCTCAGTAGTAGAAGAGATTTCCTTGATTTGAAGGAGTTATTCTTCCTGAGACCATCATCTCTACCAGTGATGGGCGGGATGGTTTCTGCCAATGTGATCAAGGTAAAGATGAATGTTGTGTTAGTTATCAGATATCCCCAGCATGTATGTTATGGCTATTTTTACCTGTAGTTTCTTCGGGATATGTGAACACAAATTCTTAATGAATACTTGGACTAAAATAACGTGGATGCTAATCTGACACGATTTCGTGTTTCTGTATAAGATATTTTTTTGTCCCCATATGGAAATTGATAATAATTTTCTGGAAATGCTTCCATGATGAAGAAGCCATAAGCATAACTGTGTAAATTCAAGGCTCTAATCAAATCTGAAGAAGTTGTGTTATGGATATTTACCATAGCAGAATTTCTTTATTTTTGGAAGATTCTACTGAAATGAATGCCTTGAATTTGATTAAGTCTCATGTCATTTGTTTGGGTTTTTAACCTGACAGTATTCTTAACGGCTTACAGTATCTGTCATTTCCAATGTTACATGGATGCTAATCTTAATAATAATGAATTTGTATGCATCCTTGTTCTCTAAGAGCTAGGATGTGTGTTTTTAAACCAACTATTCTTTCATTGACACTTACTTGGCAGTATACCAGCCCCAAAATGATGTCTCGATATCATCCGATGTCAAACCACCAGTACTATACTACATGCATTGAATAAACAAACTGTTTTAAAGATTTATCAGTTTTAAATATTTCATGTTTTGTCCTCTTATCATAGGTATTATTTTATTTTTGTGGATATTTTGAATACTTATTCATGGTCTGTCATATCTGTTGAGGAATTCCAGTTTCAATTTGCAATTTAATAGTGTGAATTAAAAACATTTTGTATTTGGTCTTTATCCCACATTGTAGAGTGGTAATAATTGATATATCTTATGTATTATAATACAGAAACATTCAGCAAAACACCCAGTGACAGGTACTTAAGTAGTCCCACTACTCAGGTGTCATTGTTATAATGATAGTCTAGCAATGAGGTGAACTCTATCTCATCCTGGGCTTTGGGCAAATAAAACATTCGAATCAAAAATATATCTAATTCTGGGTGTTACATGCGTGCCATTTCTCAAGTTTGATCTCAGTAAAAAAGATCCACTTTAAAAAAAAGAACTTCCTTTGAAATAGCTGGTTGTGTTCAGACCAGGATATAACTTAAAGGCAGCCCAGTAATGGCAGCCAGAATATTACCAGTTCATATATATAAGTGTGGTTCAGGTTATGCCTTAAGACATGTCAATAGTGTCATGACTTTCAAGTGCTTTTTATTTGGGTATGCTAACTATTTTTATCACATTGTGAATAAGAATGGGTTGGTGGAATTATATGAGAGAGAGAGAGAGAGAGAGAGAGAGAATCCTTTATGTAGAAAAAAGAGCAATTAGCACCATGTCTGATAAGATCTGCTCACCTGTTAAGCTTAACTGCATACCTTCCTAATTCATTGTCCACTGTCCTGAGTGTTACCTATCCAGACACGGAACCATTAGGACATGTTTTAGCTGAGCTGAGTATCAAAAGGGGAATCCTTCTGTAAACACTGAGAGAAAAAACACCACATGAAGTTGAGAGTTCAAGATATTGCATGATAATTATAGCAAGAAGTTGCACAGGTTGGAAGCCCTTAATATAAGTGCCCTGTACAGTAAATGTCAAGTGATATTTCAAACATAATTCTCTGCTTCAACTTAAGTTATAATCATCTGTAAGGATTATAGATAGGAGTGGCCGTGTGTGGCATGCTGTTCATAATTTCAAATCTAACTGCAAATATTGATCCATGTGTTTTTTTACACAGGGATGATACGTACGTGATGTGCATCATTTTCCATAATTTAGTGATGGCAGCCCTGGGCACTCTGTGTACAAATTGATGTTTATTAATGTGACAGGCCACAAGATTTATGGAACGAACATAATTCCAATTTTCTGACAGCTCCATGGTTCATTTGCCAGTCAGTAGTGTTAAAGCTTATTAGGGGCAGGACCCAGAAAAGCTGACCAACAGATAGGTGTTTTAAGCGGTATAAACCTGTATATTAAGATATATACATATATATGCGTCACATTGATGACCTTTGGTCACTGGAAAGGTGTGAACTTAATGCCTGGGTGCACATCAAGGTGTCTGTATAGAAATGATACAATGTATGCTTGCATGTAGTCTCTGCATGCTGGGTGAGCCTGTACTGTGTGTTCATTTAGCCGCAGCCAAGAGAGTAGAGCCGCACTGGCAGGATATGTCATTATGATGATGATGATGTGCAGTATCAAAGCTCGGTAGGCTTTGATATCAAAACAAGGTTTTCTAGCAGATTTGAGCGGAAAGCCGAGAGGGAAAGGATGGATTTTGATTCGGAATCCGGCTCTGAAGTTGAATATCGGAGCAGTAGTAATGGAAAGAAAAAATCAGAAAGAGTTCACACTAATCCCAGTCAGCCAGATGACGCAAAGACATGTCTACCTGTCAGGTGTAAGGTGTGTATATTACAGGTGACTGGTCTCTAATACACTGGTTTAACATACAGGTGTACTAATTCCTAAGTGTCATGTTCAGGTTGTTCTTCGAGGTAATGTCTTGTTAAAATTTATGAATAGCATATTACATGCTGTACTTGAAGTAATGTCTTGTTAAAATTCATGAATAGCATATTACATACACTACATGTGGTCTGGTGTTGTAGTATGTTGTAAGGTCTCTATATATGTTTAAAGATTAAACGAGTCGTGCATTATACATTACCCTAGGGAAGCACTGTTCTTTATAAGTTACCATATAGTTTATGATGGATTAATATCTAGATATATATTAATGGGTATGATCAGCTGATATATCTGGTGTTGGTAAATAGCCTGTATCTCTTCTCACCTGTGTCCATGTTATGGTGTGTAACCAGAGATACTCCAGTATGTAGGTGCCTCGGGGCCGTAGCAATAGTCCGAAGGTTCAATAGTCCGAAGGTTCATTGGTCCGAATCTTCACTACAGAACCTTCGGACCAATGAACCTTTGATTAAAAAACAGATGAAAATGTTACCATTTTTCAGACCAATGAACCTTCGGACCAATGAACCTTCGGACTATCCAGACGCCCCCGTTGCCTCCTGGAGTACCTGTCAAATGAGGGTGTAAATATTATATTGTATTGTTTCGTAATAATGTTCTGGACTAGCAGATCTGACAGGGCTGTCAGGAATAGAATGGTACAGTGTCACACTACATGGATGTACTTATAACTGGTATAGAACTGGTTTGAAATTTATAATTGATGAACAGAGTTGTCGCGTTTGACAGGCAGGGTTGAAATTACCCAGATCAGGAGAAATGAAGAAAGAAACACTTTAATTGTCATGAAAAAAATGAAATATTCAGTAATTTTTGAGGACTGTATTAAAATTTACTGAAGATTATATCTGAGTACATACTGGGTCATAGCGCATGTAAAAACCATAGAACTAATAAGCAGATAACTGTAGGATGATATAATTTATTTTCTAGCGAGTGTTAGGAGGAGTCAGGATCTCTGTACACGCAGTATTTTAACTTGTGACTGATAGGGGTGTTGGTGCCTGCCCAATTTCCTGCTTGTCACATCTGAAATATTTCATGAGGTACATGTCAAACCTCACTGGTAAATTATTGGGCAGAGTTCAGAGACTTTTTCTGAGTTAAAAACATGCTTTCTCACTTACTTAAGTATAAACACACACACACACACACACACACACACACACACACACACACACACACACATTCCTTATCAGTTTTACTTGTCTAATGAAATATTTAAATATGGAAGCCTTTCATGATCGAAGCAGGATATTTTTAAGTGTTTTTGTGAGCCAAAACAAAAGAATAATCCTCTCCAATAGCCATACATCCTCGATTTTTCTTGGGTTCCAATATTGATCTATGGTCTCACATAAAGGTACACTGTACTCTAAAGTGACTCTTTTTGTAATTCCTTGAAGCTTAATGTGTGAACAGTATACTCAGAGAATAAGGCAACATTGATTGATTTTTTCTCTCTTTTTTTGGGATGTGTAGAGCTGGCTGAGTGGTTGGCTTCAGCTGCCATGTAGCTGGGATTCTTTTAATTTCATCTGGTTCTATATTCAATCTAGCATCACTTTAGAAGAGTAACTCTCCTCAATGCTTTCTATTGTTCCCACTGTGCTATTGCTGATAGGGCTATAAAGGCTACATGAAAGCTAAATGTACAAATTGGATTTTAGTGCTGTTTGACATTTTCAAAAGTCTGCCATTAGGAACAGTACACAAGCAGCCGGTGGTTTAAGGTACCTTGAAGTTTAATAACTCTAGGGAACATAGAGCCGGGATTAGCTGCCTTTGTGCAACCTAAAGCAGCTGGGTGTGAAGATGCTTTTTTATTGAAATATGCTAGGATTCCCATGAAGCGCTCAGTTATGACTTGTTCATTGTAGAGGCTTCTTTATTACTGGGATACTCTTTTATGTTCAAAACGACAGGGGAAATTTAATAGACAAGTATGAGGAAACTGAAGGAACCAGACAGAGTGAATAGGACTTTGTTATTTAGGCATTTGAATTCACCAAGACTAATTAACATGATTGTAAATCAGTGGACAAGATGATAAGATTATGAAATAGTGTTATTTGGTATATTTTCTTTTCAGTTTCATACAACAGTTCACCCTCAGATGGATTGCAGGAATGTATATCTTAAAAGCAAGGTGCTGGTCCTTGATAAGTATTTTTGATTCAATTCTCATCTCACATTGGTCTTATATTACTATTTTTTATTTTAGGAACTCGTAGGTAGCAATCCCACACAGAGAAACTGGAAGGGGATCATCTTGGCTCTGTTGGTTATTGCCATCATCCTTGGACTCATAGTTCTGGCAGTGATTCTGGTGATGCCAAGTGAGTACCAGAGACTCTTCCCCTGCAAAAATTGGTCTCATTAAACATTCACTAACGGTTCTCAATCTATTCTAGAACATATGATGTATCTTTTACACTTCCTTATGTTGTTCTGAAATGAATGGAACAGTTTGAGAACTGTTTTTGGGAAGTCCTTCAGAAGATCCTAGAACATATTAAGAACATTTTTCATTAAAAGAGATAAACATTAATATTATGTTCTAGGACAGACTGAGAAACGTAAGTGAGCATTAAATGAGAGAAATTTTTGCAGGGGTTTTCAGGGGTTCTTGTCAATTTTTAAGTATCACACATATCATCCAGTACCATTTGGATATTGTTTAAATTAGTGGACACAAAATAATTTGTATTGGTAATTTTGAATAATGTTTAATTTTTTAGTGTTTGTCTTAAAGATTTATATTTTTGCCAGTTAAATTTTGTATTAGTGTGCTGGTATAATTTGTTCAAGTCAAGTTGTTATTTTATGGATTCTGAAAAAAATCGTAACTTTGATTGACCAGATTTTTACCAGACCAAATGGCAGAGGAAAAATGCAACAAGCAGAGAGTTCATTGAGCTTAAACCTTTTTATTTCCATCTATATATCATGAAAAAATTTGCTCTTCATTAAATCTCCTTCTAATAACTGAAAGTACTCACACTCAGTGATTTATCATAAACACCATATGGTTTGGTTGAACTTGCTTGCTAGAACTTCATATTGAACTAGACATAATGTATCTTAAATCATGTCATGTATGAAGTGGTTTGGCATTGATGTATAGTGATCTTTTCTTGGAATAATTAGCCAAATTTTATTGCTGGCTTAGTGATTTCTAGAAAATTAGCCCTGAAATTAACAAGCCAGTATTTTTCTTGAAAGGAGAAACATTTCAAAAACCATGGATGATAGCACTGTCTGTGTGCATGGGAAAATTTATGTTTGTCCCTATTAAGGATTCATTAGCAGTCTGGAGTAAACTTTGTCCTAAGGATGGTAGCTTTTTCTCTTAGGAAATTAAATGTTATTTTCTAATTCATCATTGTATTGATTTCCAATTTTGCTTTTAAGCCCTCAGATGTAAATTGGACAATTATGATCTATTGCTAGCCAACTTTATTAGATCAATGGAGAGTAATGAGAATGGCAAGCAGGGAGGACTTTAATGGCATACTTTGTGGCAAATTGCAATGGGAAAATGTAGTTTATAAGCTAATACATGCACTGTTACAGTATTAAAGGTGGAATTGGGAAAGTGAATAAAATAAGAAAGTAACTTGCTGGTGGATTGTACGAAGGCATTTCCGAAATGGAAATTGGTTCTCAGGCCGGAGTTTATCAATAAAAGATGATTGACATATTTATACATGATATTATATTTAGAAGGTTTTTGCCATCAACCTTGTAAACAGATTTTTGCTTTCAACTTTCATCATATTTCTTAATTTATTTTCCAGCCATTTAAATTGCTGCTTGCAGTTTTTTTTTCTTCTAAATATAATATCAGTTTTGTAAAAATTGGCTGGCTTGATTGCTTTTGTGCAATATGCTAGTAATGCCTAACCTCAATATTCTGAGCCTCAAATCTCACCTTATATTTCAAAACCTCTTGCAGCTAATGCAGAGAAATTGATTTAAGAGTGAGTGACATATTAAAAAAGTGACATATTAATGCCATTTAAGCCAACCAGTTTTAGCACACATTTTTTTCACAGAAGTTGCATACTTTGAAAGGTACTCTATACAGAATTTCCCTCCCAATATGAATTTCCCTCGACATCGGGTACTTTTTAAAAAGACTATTTGGGGTCTGAATCAGAAAAGATTAAAAGCTTTGTAGGACAGATAGACATAGTTAATATGACTCTAGGACATTTTCAAAATGTAAATGTAAGAAATGTGTGGTTAAGTTGCAGCATCTCCAAAATTATTAAATGTGCAGTGTTTTGTTTTAAAGAACAATTTTATAAATTTTTCTTTTCTTTGTTTCTTCCAGAGGATGAATACGTGCCACTTGGTGAAAAGTTTTCTTTACAAGACATTTTTGATCCAGACTACCAGCCCAAGAAACATTATGTGCAGTGGCTTGGAGGTGAGGACATAGTATATCTAGACCAGTAGCAGAATGGGGCATTACACATCATTTTCCAACTCTTTATATTTTTGGCATCTCTTCTGATAAATCATTCATTTCTTCTGATATCCCATAGTTAAACAGAAAACCAGGAAATGCACTTCATCTTCTCTCACTTAAAGGGATAATAACTCTTCGTATGAGATCTATATTTCACAATATAAACCTTGTGAATAACTCATAGAAATATAATATATTCTGTTTTACCACAAAAACAGCAGTTATAGCTATTATTCTGATATCTGAGCTTGTCTTTAGACCACGTGACCTCCATTGATGGCTATACTCTGTTAAAATCTCTTAAGAGATTTTAACAAAAAACCAAACTTTTTAGAAAAAATCCAGGGACCAACTTTGAATGTAAAAATGGATTCATTAACCATTAGAAAGTATGGGAAAATTGTTGTTTACTCCAGGAAAATTCATTTTTTGGCCGAAACGAAGAGTTGTTATTGCTTTAAGCAACACTGATAGAACAGGAAGTGGCAAACAGTTTTATGTGCAGAAAATAAAAGATTTAAATTAAAAAAGGGAATAATCCTGTGGACTGACCAGTAGACAAATAAATGTGTCTGCTAATACTGACCACTGTAAATATTAGGTGCAGCTTCTGTGTGACAAGCTAGCAATGGCAAATTAATAAATGGAAATTTTATTGGTCATCTTGAAATGTCATTAAGACCCAACCAGCCTTGGTTTATGAGAGATGAGCGAGAAATATTTGGCTTGAAATTTAATTAATTGTAATCACCAAGAAGTATTGAATATGTTTAGATTGTTATATCCAGGTTATATTGACCAATACACTGGGATTAGAACCTTGATTATCACATTGATTAAGACTATTGGCAAGCTCTGTAATAGTTACAGTGTATATATCTGATAGCAGTTGTACACTCTGCAGACGGCATTGGTTTACAATGCTCAAAGGCACACAGGCTCCAAGGGGTAGGGAGGAGGGGGGGGGGGGTCTCCCAAGCCAAAAATTGTAGAGTAAGAAGTTAATCCAGTCATTTTGATTCTTTTACATACAGTGCACTTAAAACATGTGCAAGGGGTTTACAATTGCTCCTGGTACATATCTTGGTTTCAGCGTCCCAAATGTGCCCACAGAATATATGACCCAGGTGCATAAATGTTGAATGCCCTGGTTTTGGTATGCATCAGAGAGTTCAATTTGAACCCCTTTGGACTCTTGTAATCTGCTAGTTGCAATAATTCATTTTTACAAAACAAAAAGGTTTTGTGTAATATTATTTGTATCTGATTTGTTCTTGGTTAATGATAACTGCTTGGGGAATGTAAGCCTATAAGGTATGTGATGATATTGTGTTATCATGTGGATAAATTGGTCCATGTTTTGGTTGCAGATAGGGACATTTATGCATACAGAGATGGGTATGGAAACTTACGAAAGCATGAAGCAGCTAATAATAGATCATTCATGCTTTTGGAAAACACAACATTTGTAAGTATCACAAATGTATCTGTATAATTTTTTTAAAGATCATTTATCAAGTTTTATTCCAGTTGGGGCTAGTGATTTCAATGCCATTTGTGGCATTCTTAGCTATAACAATCTGAATAGCAGTTTTTATATACGTTACGTAAAGTGCTTTTTTTTTTCTTTTGGACCAGTGAACATGCATGATCATATCTGTGTATTCATCCATAATTAATACACTCTTACATGCTAAGATTAGTAAATACTATCAAATTTGAGAAGAATTTAATTTATCAACTGTGCTGTGTGATAAGATTGAAGTATAGTTATTTTTTATCAATCAACAGCTAAAATTGAAATTGTTTTTCTCTGATATTTCAATATCTGTCTAGAGCATCTTCAACTAAAGTTAGCTTTTATTACAAGTATACAAGATGATTTCATATGACGTAGTGCATTGGCATGTGTTGCTATAATAATAATATTAGGTAATATTTTCTGAACTCTTCGAGAAGGCCATTACATAACCCTTGCCTGACTAGTAACAGTTAATGCATGAAATCATTATAACCAAAAACCATCTGTTGAGTATTACATGTAATTACATTCAGCAGCCATATATTACACTGAAACTGTGCTGGTTTTCCATTATTATTTAACTGCTAGATCATCTTTCATCTCCACTTCACAATTATTTTGTCATATTGGACTTAAATTGTCACCAGCATGAAAATCCTCCTTAAAATATGAAAATTGATCAAATACAAATGTATCAAGTGTTTGCTTCTCAATAATTTATTGAACACTGACTTAAATTTAATTCATATTTCAGAGAAGACTTGGTGCTGAGATATTCTATGTTTCTGAAGATTTACAATATGTCCTCCTAGCATACAATGTGAAGAGGGTAAGTACATTTTGGTGTCTTTGTTAAACGACAAATGAGATGTGCAAAACCATTCACAATTACTTGAAATTATTTGGACAGTAAATGATGTGACTATATGACTAATAAATATCCTCTCCCCCTCAGCCCCCTCTCCTTAGAATTGCACATCTCATGTCTGGCAATCTGGTTGACTGCTGATATCAGTCAGACTATATTGATGAAGGAAGAAAGAGTCAAAATGGTCAAAGCATTATGGGATGGAGGCCCTTGGGATTGAAACTGAAAGCCCTGGCATTTCTATCCCTGACTTCTGTGTCTGACATGTCTGAAAAGAAAGATGCTATCTTTAATTTCCTGCTTCTGTGTTTAAAAAACTAATTTAATCTTTTCGGGTTTCACTCCTATTTATATTCCCTTAGAATTGGCCAGCTTCCAATTTCTGTTGTTAACTAGGTTTTGATGGCTGTGTTCCGCCATCGATTTTTTTGTTGGCAAGATGAGTTAATCAATAGTAGGAGCAGGTTTATGCCAGGCTGGATATTACTGGCAACTGCTTCATCTACATGTGCTTTATTATCTGCCTGCCTGCCTATAACCTTGAGATATTAGAATTTAATGAAAGATTTGGGGGATTGGCCATTCGTCTAATTAAAAAGGGCAAAGATGCCATGGAGATTTATATCCAAACTGATTAAAATGCCCTGTTTTAGTTAAAGAAGACTCAGGCTGTTATGATTTGTCAGAAACTATTAATAGTGGTTCAGAAATTACATTATGTGTGAAGTGTTAAATTTTATTGATGTGTTTGGAGTCAAATAACAGATGGAATTTCATGCAAAGGGTTCATGTATCAATGAAATAAATATGTATTATTTTGTTTTTGAAAGAACCTTTGATAAAAATTCCCTACTTTTTTTCAGCAATTCAGACATTCCTTCCTGGGGCAATATATGATTTACTCCACGCGAGACCCTAGGTACGTACGGTACTGAGTAGTATTAGACATGTTATATTGGATAAATCAACTTCAGGCCATAACATGACTGCTTTTCAATTTTGAAATGAAGTGATTGACTATGCTGCCTGATTGTAATAAAAATCTGTTTATAATTAGGTATATTTAGTGTATTTTCAATACTGTCTTGTATTTTTAGCAGTCACTTTTCTGAATATGTCTGTGAGCTGAGAGGTGGTATTGTTTGGTATGTGATGACTGCAAGACAATTAACTTGATGTTATTGGTTATTCTATTTCCAGCAAATCCTATAAACTAGAACCTGTGGGTCACCCAGATGCTAGGCTGCAGTATGCTGGCTGGTCTCCAAATGGCCACCTTATTGTAAGTACTCTGAATACGGCTATCTCTGCATCACTCTGTAGTTACTACACATGTATTACTGTTCACAGACTGCATATATATAATATGCATATATAATATATATGTGTAATTATGAACTTGTAGAAACTCAAGATATGTTTACAGAATGCTTATATACCCATCACAGCTAGTTATGTAAATACTCCTTCACTATACCATTGAATTAACCTAAAATATCAATATAATTACAATATAACCACTCATATTGATGCTATTTCTATTTGTCTATTTTAGTCCTATGTTTACAACAACAACCTGTACTACGTCTCCGATCCAGAGAATGTGGTCAGCACGACACGGCAGCTGACGCATGATGGGGCACCTAATCTCATATACAATGGCATTCCAGACTGGCTTTATGAAGGTACTGAGCACAACCCCCTTAACCTCTGACTCTAGATTAACTCAAACACACTGCACAGGTAGTACACTGTATATGCATGTAGGATCTCAGACTTGGAAGCAGAGGGGTTCTAAGCATTTGAAAGAACTGCCCTCTTGGCTAAAAAAGATCCACTCTATACAAAAAAAAATTATCTAAGTTCTATGCCAGCCATTTCAAAAGTTTAGTCAACTAAGAGGGTTTAAAAGTTTTTAGAAAAAGATACCCTCTGAAACTGCATGGACCTATACTCGCAATGCTGATTTCAGTTCCTGATGTGTGTGTGTGTGTGTGTGTGTGTGTGTGCAGTTACCTTGGGCATCTAGATATTCATGCCTTCACCCAGCTACCAGATGTCAGTCCATGCTAATTATATCGCTTTATTGATTTGTTTCAGAGGAAATCCTGAGGAGTAACAAGGCCCATTGGTGGTCCCCTGGAGGCACCTACATTGTCTATGCTGCCATCAATGACAGCAATGTTCCAGTGTATCACTACCCTGTGTTTGGAGGGGGCAGCAACTTGTATGGAGACATCAATGGCATACCTTATCCTAAGGTACACATGCATGACTATACTTAAATGTCTAGCTTGCTACCCTATGTAAAGTTACACATGACTTTCCCTAAATATGTTGAAACCAAGTTTTTATGGTACTCTAAACAAAGATACACATGGTTTCTTAAATATAAAAATATGAAAACAACTGTGCATGTTACCCTACTCAAAGATTCAATCTTCTCTGATAGTACTCAACATTCATATAAATACAGTTCTATATAATACGTCAGTATTTTCAATAAGAAAATGATTTGAGGTTGTTTTCAATTAAGGCTGGTGATCTGAACTCCAACAACAATCCCACATTCAAGCTGAAGGCTATAGAACTGTCCACCCAGAAGACAGAGGAACTCATTCCTCCTCCACACCCAGCATTCAAAGATAAGTAAGTCAACCTGGTGACATTGAACTTTTTACTGGATGGTGAGAGATATTCATTTCATAATTGAATAGTTGCTGAAAAAGGTGTCATGAAATTATCAATATACATCATAGATACATCTGCATGATTGATGCACAGACCAAAGCAAAAAAAAAAAAAAAAAAAAACATAAAAAAATAAGCTGTTTTAAACCTAGAAAAGATATAATTTGACAATATATGGACCATATGTTATTTGTAGGTTAAAAAAAGAATGAAAACATAAGGATACAATTTTATGATATGAAAAAAAAAAATGAAATTTAAAGTTAATCTGACCTTGTTTAATGGGTCCAAGATCTTACCAAGCAAAAAGTAACCAATATATATGACATTAACTTTATCCTGCTATTCCGCATGGGTGATCACCAGTTCTGCTGTATTCTTCCAGGCAGTATTACTTCACCACCGTCAGTTGGAGAGACAATGTGAGAGTGATGGTGTCCTGGATGAATCGAGCTCAAAACTTCACCAGCCTCACTGTCTGCTATACCTACAGTGGCAACTGCAGTGTGGTGAGCAATTCCTTGTAAAATATAGAGAGAAAATAGTTTGAATAAAGAATTCAAAACAAAATAAATATCTCTTATCTTAAGAGATAACATGTATTAAAAGTCTTATTCACATCGTACGGTGGTAAGTTTTATCTTATATCAAAAGGATTACATGCGAAGAATAGTAGTGTTTTTGGATAATTGACAATGAAGAAAAAGAAGAAATGGTGTGTGAAGTGTGTTTTACTGATCAGTCCCATTGAAAATTCAATAAAGTTGAAACATGGCTAAGAAATCCCGTCCCACTCTCTACAGTCCCAGTAGGCCATGTTTGATGGTTACTTAGACTGTTAGAAGGAAATTGGAAATCCTTTAAAACTGTCCTTAAAAGCAATTGCATTAGAAACCAGTACTTCAGCTTTTTGAAATCATTGACATAGTGCTAATGAAATTCTGGCGTTAAAGGCCTTTTGAGCAGATAAATGCCACTTTGTAGGATATTCTAGTGTTTTGAGCTTTTATCTCTATAAGTTAAGAAAAAAATCAATAAAATGCGCATGCTTTGGGTTCATTATATGTTGGTGAGTTATTGAGTTAAAAGACAATGAAGCTTTACACGGTACACAGTACTTTTGAATGAAATGCATCTACCTCATCTCATCAAATGGATTTAACCTGAAATAAAAAATACTTCAATTGTTCATGAAAAGGATACATTCCATTCAGTGCATGCCTACATGTTATCCTGAAGTTTATTCCATTACATTTTTTTTCCTCAGAACTTAAATGAAGAAGTAAAGCAAGGAAAAGGCTGGGTGGACATTGTAAGTATACAGGAATATATTTGGGCTTTTCAAATTACTGTTCAATATCCCCATAGTAAGTGACATTGAATTAAATATAAAACATTGTGTGGCTCTGCATGCTGAAGTCTTTTTCATTTGGCATTTTATTTGAAGTTTTACACTGCAGCTGTAGGCTAATGTTAATTTAGAGAAGAGAACCTTTTTGCTTAGCAATTTCCAATCAATACCCATTGAACTGATCCCCAAACTGATAATAGGATATCTTAATTATCTTGCAGTATACTCCGCCATTGTTCTCTGCCAGCGGGGATCGCTACTTTCTCATTCTCCCAGATAGATACAGCACTGATAGCTACTTCAGAAATGTGGCTGAAGTGGCAGCACCAGTAAGTCAACCAACTGATTTATATTGAAATAAGTGGTATTTTGAAATAAATTTTCCTGGTAACTGATCTTCATTCCCTGTAGTGAAAATGATTCACATTGAAATGCTGCTTTCACTAAAATAATTGGTTTAAACAAGAGCTTTTCTTGGAATAGACAATCACTATAAAGTGTCGTTATCTGATCAGTGTCTGTCTTCAGTTTACAGAGAAGCAATCTTCTGATTTGTAAAATGTCAGGATGTAATCTACTCTCCTGTGTACAGCTTATTTTTTGTAAACATTTGAAGTTCTCCTTCTTTGCATTGACAGCAATAAAGATATTTTAAACATTATTTTAGATATGAGATAAAGAGAAGTCGGATTATTTAAACTATCATGTTTCTATATCATCACTAGATACGTCAGAAGGGTGAGAAGAGGTTCTTGACCAGCACAGAATGGGATGCTACTGAAATACTGGCTTATGATGACAGGCAAAAACTTATGTAAGTGGGACATGCTGAAACTGGCATTTTTAAACAGAAACTATTTCCATCATTTTAGCATTTTATGAATACTATAATACATAACTGAAACATCAAAGCTAAAAAATGTATGTCTTCATTTTCTTTTTTTTTCAGTTATTTCCTAGGCACTGGAGGAGACTCACGTAAGCGCCACCTATACAGGGTTGGAGGCATCGATTCCAAATCGGCAAGAAAACTGGAGTGTCTGTCATGTGATATGGGCGACCAATGCCTTTATGTTAGCGCACAGTTTTCAAGAACAGGAAACTACTATGTACTACAGTGTCTAGGACCTGGTGTGCCTACCTATTGGCTGAAGAGTGCATCTGATCCAAAATACAGTAAGACCCCATTTCCAGAGATTAGATCGATCTATTTAGATAGACCTAACTCCCTGGGGGTTCACGCTAAGTAGCTGTCAGCTGAGCGGACACGAAAGTTAATTACCCCCTTACAGCTTGTAGTAGGCGGGATGGACATTTAAGCCGGATTATCTGACAGTAATCTAGTGAGACTCCCAGCGGGGATAGATCGATCTAAAAGCTCTGGGAATACAGCCTAAGTGAACAAGTGCCAGCAATTTCGAAAGAGGGTCTGTTTCTGAAAAAGTGGACCTTTTGAGCACCTAAGTTGCGTAGAAACTAGCTCAAATTTTGATTGGGCATGAATTTTTCATTCTTTTCTATCTGGTGAGCCTGATGTCTGCTTTATATTCAAGCCAGCACAGAATTCAGCAAATATTTAAATTAATTTGTTTTTTTTTTCATTTGGCTAAAAATCCATCTTGGTTTTCAGCAATTAGGCTATAAGTAAGAAAAATAAAAGAAAGAAAACATGAGATCTGCATTTCAGCAGTAATAAATAATTTTTTTCAAATACCACTAGATAACTTCAATGATCTTTGAACTCTCAGACTGATTTCTGGTTAATGTGATGTTATTTTTTATTGCTGGTATTAGTTAAGGAGACAATATTCATATGATGGTTTCAATAATTTCAATTCCCCATTGCAGGTCAGTGTTTGGAAAGCAACCAGGCCTTTAAGACCAGGATGTCAGTGAAAGCCACACCCAGAATAGAATATTTAGAGATCGGTGTCAAAGATGAGAAGACGGACAAAATTCAGCACAGTAAGTGAGGCCAGTGTCCTTATCTTGGTCAAGAATTAAATAAGGAATATTTTAATGACCCACCTAACTCTTGAGAAAGCATAGTAATGAATTGTGTGATTATTACATGTAGCTATAACAAATGATTGTGATTTATAACAGGAATGTGGGCAAGAGTAGAGCTTCCTCCGAGACTAAAGAAGTCAGAAGTTATAAAGTATCCAATACTTATTGATGTGTAAGTAATCATATCCAGTATTCAAATAACACAACTGAAGAAGATGAAACAGTATACTTAAAAAAATAAAATAAAAAAATACCACACAGAAAAATGAATTTTTAAATTTCTTCTACTAGTATGCTCAAAGACTACTTAAGCCAGCTGTATTAAAGCAAAAATCTTAACAGCAGTTTTGAAATCATTATTTGGTGATGTTTCCTCATTCTACCAACCTGCAGGTTACCTTTGTTTCCCTCTTACCTGCATAACTTGTATATCAACAGGTATGGGGGGCCAGGAGGTCAGAAGGCCACATATCAGTACAATGTGGGCTGGTCCACCTACATGACAAGCTCCAAGGATGTGATATATGCCTATATTGATGGGCGGGGCTCTGGTAACCGTGGTGACAAGTACCTGCACTCTATCTACAAACAGCTGGGTACTGTAGAGGTGGCGGACCAGGTGACAGGGGCAAGGTCAGGGGGAGAGCACTCTGTATTATTTTCTTTGACTTTCTACTATGACATCTGCTTTCTAACTACCACAAAATATGTCTGAATCTCATGCGCAAATATCTCAGTTTGTTGGTTTTGAAATGAAAATATTTTTATCTGTAATCACTCTTTGGCTTTTAACTTAATGCCCTAGACAATACACAATGTTGTTGTTTAACTTTTAGAAACCAGTCTGACACTTTGTTCTGAAACAATGTTTTTCTTTTCAGAGCCCTTGTGAATGATTTGTCATATATAGATGAATTCAAGGTCTCCATCTGGGGCTGGGTAAGTAAGATATGGTAGTGGGAAATTATCCAGTGACCTGTCAAAAGTGATTAACCTTTTATACTGCAGAAATACAGGATTATATTGACAAGTGACTTTGTATTCACCGGTGGCCTATCAATAAACTCTTCTGCAGTCATAAACTGTAGTACATGGCGGTTTTGTTCTGTGATATCTGTTTCTCAAATTGGACAAAATGACCTAAGTAAAAGTTAATTTACACAAATTAAACTATACATGTCATGATGTAAGAAATTTTTATTGATTAGCTGTAAGTTTTCAGTGAGAATTTTAATTCCCTTGTCAAGCACTTTGTCTAACAACATGTCATAATACAGCAGTAATCATATTGAATACCCAGAAACAGGTCCTTTGAGAATTGCCAACCTTTGCCTCGATCCATATCTGCATGATACCAAGAAGAAAATTGCATGAAAAATACTAATATTTTCATGTCAGAATGAAATGAGTGCATAGTGTGACAGTCTTGTGTATTATAATTGCAGTCCTATGGTGGTTTTGTCAGTGCCCATGCTCTAGCTGAGGGGACTGATGTGTTCCAGTGTGGAATAGCAGTAGCACCTGTCACAGACTGGAGATATTATGGTGGGTAGCCCTACTCTCAGGGGTGGATCTAGATATATTTTCTGACAGTCTTCTAAATTAACTTTGTTGATCCATCCTCCATTTTTGACCATCTTCCGACAGGAAAATTAGATACCAGTCAGTGTAAACTTGAAAATCTGACCATCTTCTGGAAGACCCAGAGGGGGAACTTTGCAATCTCCAAGTCATTTATCAATTTTTAATCATTTAGAAAAATAAAACTTCATAGAATTTTAAGTTAAAAAGTGTAAATATAATAGTTTTAGGTTAATGAGACAACAGGCAACATAACAGTATTATAAATTTTCTTAATTGCTTTATTACAATATGTATAAGATCATGAAAAATAACACAGATGACCCCCCAAATATTTAATACCCTAGCAAGGTGTGCTTTCCATTGCATTTCATGGTCATTTGTACTCTTCTCACATAATTAATGCTTTTTACTCCAGACACGATATACTCAGAACGCTACATGGGGAGGCCCACTGATGCTGATAATATCATTGGATATCAGGTAGTTTGCCCTTTAATATGAAAGCTGAAGTTTTATATCTGGTCTTAAGATGTTTAATTCGATTGCCAGTCATTTCTACATATAAAATGAATAAATTTTGCAGTGTCTATAAGTAGAATATTCAAAAATGTTTTGTAGCCATTATGTTTTAGATTTAGAAGATTGGAATTCATCACTCATATTTTGATTAACTGATAGTTGGCAATGTATACAAAGTTCAGATATAATTTACCTTTGGTATAAATCATGATCTGATGTCTGCATGTTATTCTTTCACGTTGATAGATCATTCAGCATGCAGCTAAAGATTTATTATATTTTCAGAGAGCCAATTTATCAGCCAAAGCAAATAAATTTAGAAAAGTTAGCCTGTTCCTTATTCATGGTACAGCAGATGGTAAGTTGTCATCACATGTACTGTCATCATTAACTTTTTAACGAAGATAATTTTTTTGATAACAAATTAATGAAGACAATTAAATCAGTTTTGATATTTATGTATATTTATAAAAAATTTTAGTGTTTCTATAATAATCACTTTTATAAAAAATTATCTTTTTTTTGTCCTAGCACATTTTTTACTGAAAAGCTGATTTAACAAAAAATTTAACAATAATGACAAATACTTCTACTGAGCTTGTGCTCTGACAAAATTTCAGAAAACGTTCATTTCCAAAATACTGCCCAGTTTGCCAAAGCTCTCACTGAAGCAGGGGCTGATTTCAGGACACAGGTAATGCAAGCTGTTCTCTTCTGAATTAGATCAACTCGATTTCCACTGATAATCTTTAAACATGGGTTATTATGAATATTCAACGTGCAAATCTTACCAAAATTATGGCTTCATTTGACTTCTTATTATTTTTATGTAGATAGTTCAGAGTATCCATTTCATATTCCAAAGGGACATTTCAGTCACCTGCAATGATAATTGAAGTATTGAAGTATGAAGAACAAAAATTAGAAATTTTTCATTGTACCCAAAATCTCGATATTATACACAATACAGTTTTTTTACCTCCGTCAATTGTATTGTAATTTGTTTCACAGTTTAAGAAGTAAAAAGTGCACTGTCTAATGTTCTCCTTTGTTGCATTTAGTTTTACACTGATGAGACTCATTCCCTGAGAGATCCTGATGCCAAAATTCATCTGTACAAAACCATGGCAGACTATCTCTGGGATTGTTACAATGGCACCACTGTGCATGGGATGGCCATAAGAAAGGTGGCACCACCAGAGCCAGAAGTGGAATAAAGTATAAATGGCGCCACATCAATACCTACCCAATATGTGTCTTCTCTAAAACATCACTCAAGCACAATATTTTAACTGCCTGTTCTCTAGGTCAAAAGCTCAATTCTTCACAGAAAGTCCTAGAGACTGACAGGAGGGAGAGGTGTTTTACCACTGATTACACCTCTTACATTCAGTTCTTTTTTTAATTATTAAGTGCTGGCACCATTTGCTATGTTGTTTCACTTATGTGTTACAAAAAATTACCAGCCATGTAATTAAATCACTCATAATGTGCTACCTTAAAAACCAGGCTGTGTGTTGTAATACGACTGGACTACTCACAGCCAGGCAAAAGACCTCATGCACAGGGTTTTAAAAATTCACATCAGTAACATTACAGGAGTTAAATCATCAATTGGTTCCTATTGAACAATAGACGTGTGATCACAATCGTAGAATACATTGTACAAGCAAAACGTGTGATCACAGTCATAGGATACAAGCATTAATATAAAGTGTTTGATGTTTTTACCTGTTAAGTAAAGGGTGTCACCAATTACTTTGATCACAAGCAGTGGTAATTAACAGTGTGGTATTGTCTGCATGCTCACTGAATTTGTGGTCGCTACAATGGGAATATCTCTCAAGTAAAGTCCGATTTGTGGAGGAGGAATCTCAATGTGATAAATATGAACTTCTGTTGATGAGTGAGGTTCACCTCTCACAGTGATAGTGTGTTGTGTGGAGAGGAAAATTAATATATATATATATATATATATATATATTTAGTTGCTGTGTGACTCACCTTAACAGAGTGCTGGTAACTGCGGGTTCTAATTTCACCATGCTAATGTGCTGTGTGCAGAAGAAAAGATTGTAGATGTGTCTGGCATTTGAATACAGGATCTCACTCATTCTTTAGGTAAAGCAGTGATCAAGGGAAACTCTTTATGAAATAATTTGTTTATATAAGCCTCGATCCGAATCAGCCCCAATAGATTTCATATTTCAGGTTGTGAATGCGTTTTCTAATATAAAATTTTCTTGAGAAAAATGTCATCTTTATATAGTCTAGAATTACTACATTTGAAGTTGTGAGTTAATCAGGTAGTTATATGGCATTGATAGTCAGGTAAGATTATGACAAAATAAAATTATCCCTGAGCACAGAATTCTGGTGATGTCCAGTTATAGTAAGAGGATACACCAAGAATATAACAACCAGTAGAACATCATTAAGACATCTTTTTTAAAATGAAATTATGAGTTTTGTCAATAATGTTTGAAATTCTCATTCTGTTATATTTTTGGAATTTGTATGATAGATTATAGTATTGCACATTATTCTAGATGTATTTGAAGGCTAGAAGAATTTTATTTGACATTCACATAGAAATAACACTACTGAATTTTAAAACACTGATTGTGACTCTGGACAAATTGGCCCAAACAATCCTAAAAATAATAGCACAGCTTATATACTTTAGGCAAGATGAAGAACAAAGACAGCTCAAAATCTCAAAAAATTAAAATTCTCTCTTTTATAATGACAATATGTAGACTACCTTTATTATGATTCGAAATAAATACACATACTTAAGTGATAATGTATTATTTATGAAGTATATTGTTAGCATATATATAATATGAATTGCAGGTGAAAATAAAACTGCTTTGTTATATCTAGCAGGGATACTGGTCTACTATTGTCACACAGGTCTAGCTTCTTACTCCTTTATGACATATACTTTTGCATAGATTGCTCTGTACCTTTGATGCTTGATGAATTTGGGTATAAAAACCTTTTCTCTGTTGGCTAAGATTGCGTGTTATTTGATATAGATTCAAACATAATTTTTCTGTCAGTGTTACATTGTAAGCTTTTTGTATTTTGAAGGGGTGATTCAAAAACGGAACACTTTCTACATGTTTAATGGGTTGCTTATAGAATACTGGTACATTTACTTAAAAAGACACTAAGAAACATACTGATAATGAAAATATTGAAGGTATTACATGTACCAACAGTGTAGATCTTGCACAATTGAATGTTTATAAAGTGTAAGCATTTGTATTTGACCCAGTCTGGGAGTATATAGGTTTAAATTAAACCAAGCACACCTGTACATATTCATATGTGATATGATATAATGCTGTATATAATGTATTTAAAACTGTTTTGTACCTTGCCGTTTTTTATTTATTGGGTTGCTTGGTAAATTTTGTTGCCGGTATATATTGTTATCATCTCAAATAAATACTCTTATATCTGGTAATAAGTGATGTGATATTTACTTTGTTTTATCAACTTACATTTTTCTTTTTAGACATTTACACCATAGACACTGAGGTGTTGGAGAGTTATAACACTTTTTGTTTCAGTTTTTGTGTTCTTTTTATTTTCTATGTCACATTATCTAATAAAACTACACTATTAATAAACACTTGTTGGTGTTATTTGTATATGTGGAAAAGTGATTATTTTGAAAAAAGGGGGAATACATGTATAAGAAACAGTATGCCTCGTGCAACATTTATTGATTTTATTTATTTATTTAACTTAAAATATTTATTTATTGAGGGTAAACATATGGTAAATTAAAAATTTAACTTTACCGTGGCCCTCAAGAGATTGGGGAAAATAACACAAATAAAACATCTATCAAATAAATAAGATAAATTGTGTAAAGACTGTCAAAACAACAATTAAATTAAAGATTTATGTTTTAACAGACTAATCATGTTCTTACGGCACCACCACGGCAAAGGGAGCACCAAGCTTTCATGAAAGAGGGAAAAAGTTCGTTAAAAATTGATATAAAGAAAATGAATAGCAGATACAAAAGAACAAAAAATTAGATAAAGAAAAGCACATATGAGAAATATAAAGCAATGGGGTTGTTTGTCTGTTATGGGGGCACCAGGGTCGGAAGTGTTTAAAGGGATGATAACTGTTCGTTTTGACCAAAAAATGAATTTTCTTGGAGTAAACAACAATTTTCCCATACTTACCAATGGTTAATGAATCCATTTCTACATTCAAATTATTCCCTGTTTTTTATTCTAAAAAGTTTTTTTTTTTTTTTTTT